AGGGAGACCCTCATTGTTATACAAAATTACATATAAGAGGTTGTGAGGGGAATGGGAAAATAAACAGGGAGAGAAATGAATTACAGTAGATGGGGTAGAGAGAGAAGATGGGAGGGAAGGGGAAGGGGGATAGTAGGGTATAGGAAAGGTAGCAGAATACAACAGTTACTAATAGGGCATTATGTAAAATTGTGGATGTGTAACCGACATGATTCTGCAATCTGCATTTGGGGTAAAATTGGGAGTTCATAACCCACTACAATCCAATGTATAAAATATGATATGTCAAGAGCTTTGTGATGTTGTGAACAACCAATAAAAAAATAAAATAAAATAAAAACAAATAAAACCAAAAAAACCCCCCAAAAATAAAATAAAGGATCAAAATGTTGCACTATCTGAAATTTAAATCGCAGTTAATTTTTCCATCCATAATAAAAATTAGTATTAGGTATTCAGGAACATACTTATTTTTAGTTGTTATAAAAAATAAAAACACAGGTGAAGAGAATCTGTTAGCAAATGAGTTACTTATTCTCTTTCTTTTATAAATGTTCAAGTTTCTTTTTGAATCACATCATTGCACAAGGATGCGATACCTAGTTTCTCAGAAATCCTATAAGACAGAGAGCCACAGGAGCATAGGAGATCTGTGAGCACCTGAATAATGAAGACAGATGACTCTAGAGAAAAGGACAATGTTGCTATTCTGCTCATTCATGTCTGGCCACATGTCTGGAGATTTCAAAGCATACTAATTAGGGCAAAGGAAAAGGTAACCATTTGTTTACAGAACAGAAAAATCATACTACTCATGCACATAACCCTGGTAACCAAAACCCAAATGTAACTTGTGTAGGAATCCCAAGAGTGAACCTGAAAAATTTCCCTTTAAGTATATCTATTATTCAGCAGTAGTATCATTGAGCATCTCTATTTGATGGACAAGGATCATTGGTGGTAACAAGAAGTGTGCAGAGACACAGCCAGACTCCTCAGCAGCAGAAACCAAAGTTCCATAAGACAATTACTCTCACAGGGATTTCAAAGAATAATGCAGATCTAAAGGTCTTAGATTATAAAAATTGAGATTGGTTATTATTTCTTAAAAATATGAGAACAAATATTTTATATCCAAAAAATTCTTTCATGGTAGGTTTTGTGTGTATTGGATAGGAAAGACAGAAGGTGAAACAATGTGGGTAGGGATCAAAGCTTTAGAAAGAAGAAAAACCAACACTGTAACATTTTTTCCCATCTGTCTAACCATCCATCATCCAAAGTACTACCAGCTCCTTTGTTTTAACTAATTAAAATAAGAATTTTGAAAGATTTCCTCATTCAAATAGCATTCAGTGTAATCACTCCTGAACTAACAAGCCTTCATTTGAAAATATGAGTTTAAACATAAGTGCATTAGCAAAAGTCTGTATGCCACCACCTAAGCTCATGCTTTTTCACCACGTGCCTTTAAAACATCAACCCATATGGGTCTTTGTAAGAATGTAATGAGTTAGTTCCTACCTCTACATAGTCCTTGGCGTGGCCCCAATCTCGTTTGGCATCCAGATTTCCCAAACTGAAACATTCCAGTTGTCCAAGGTAAATCTTAGCTACTGACCGGCTAATTTTTCGAGTAACAAAATTAGCTCCTAAAAAGAGACAAAAGATGTGTTATCAGTGAAGTACATTTGACATGTTACAGTTTAGTGAACCAAACACAGCATCAGCCTCTGGGCATTTCTTTCAATCCCCCACCCCCAACCCCCATCCTGCTTAAAATAATAAAAGAAAAGAAAAAGAAAAAAGATCACTAACTGTCATTTAGACAAGTTAAGAAGGTCTAATTCTAAGTGTCACATCAGCTCTACTTTCATAACAAACATTTTTTCTTTAGGGGATGTCTTAACATTCCTAATTTGCTGCTTCAATATGCAAGCCAGGCATTAGGCCAAAGAAAAGCTATTGGAATGCCAGTTTTTAAACAAAAAATTCTAAAGGGTTGTATAAAGGGAAATGCCAGAATGGAAGACAGACATCTAAGACCACCCTGATTTTTTTTTTTAAAAACACAAACCTCATATATTCCTATTACTAAGGCTATTTTGGGGCCCATGGGAAGAGGGGGGAAAGTAACTTAGTTCACAGAGTATAACTAGTGAAAGGAAACCAAAAAGAAAATTTATTTGGGCTGCCTTTCTCTTAACAAAATAAGTGGTGATCGCTCTTATTCAGAAACCTGCACAGCCACACAAATATCAAGAATGACATGATTCCAAGTCAAAAGTTTCTCTACACCATACTTTTGTGCAATGCCATTTTCCAACTTCATGTAAATGTTATCTACAGAAATGGCCTCCTGAGTTTTGTAGAAATGTTTTTAAATGATTGGATGAAAGGCAGTATAAACTGAAGAAAAAAACAAATTATTTTAATGTTCTCTGGTTTTTTAATGAAAATCTCTATTTACTTTTAGGTTGTTTTATTCTTTTTCTCACATTTTTCCTCTTAAGAGATAGGGTCTTACTTTATTCCCCAGGCTGGTCTCCTGCCTCAAACTCCTGAGTAGCAGGAACTACAGACACACCTCCATGCCCAGCTTCTATCTCCTTTTAAGAAATTACGAAGAAGGATAAAATTAAAAGGCTCCACTAAGGAAATTTTATCTGCACCTTTGTATTTAGGTAACATTACCAGAGAACACCATTTCATGCCAGATTCTCAAGATAATAATACACATGTGCGCTACTATGGCTTCATATGGTTAAGACACATTGATATCATAACTTATCACATATCAATAGCTTTACCTTTGTTCTTCTACGAATGAAGAAGGGAAGCAAATATGATGAAAGGTTTTGGCTTCTATTAAAACTGGCATAGGAATAAGGGGAATATTTCTAAGTAGGTTTCCTAAATTTTGGCAAGAATGTGGGCTATCACAGGTTCAAACACATACTAAATTCATTCTACCAACTTGATATATACATTTATACAAATATCATTAAAGAAACCAATTGTACTGCTTTGGGAATTCAAATATTCAACTCACAAGGCACATTAAAAAACTGGAGTTTAAACTTTCCATAGAAAAGTTTGTAAAACATACAGAGGCCCTTCAGGAAAAAGTCTTTCGAAATGAAATGAAGATATATTTTGGGATCACAAGTTCAAAGCCAGCCTTAGCAACTTGCAAGGCACTAAACAACTTAGATTTTTTTCCAAAAAGGAAGGGGGTGGGGTGATGTAGATTAGTGATGTAGATTGGGAATGTAGATTAGTGCCCCTGGGTTCAATCCCCAGTACCCAGAGTGGGTTAAAAAAGGATATATTTATTGGCTACAATTCCTCTAAGTATATTACTAATTAGTAAACTTTCCATTAACTTTTAAAAATTAACTTTATAATTGAATTTACATATTCTGATGTCTGTTTTTACTTTAATGTCAGGACTGAACTATCATTCTAAAGTATGCCAGGTAAAGCAGTGATGCCAAATTATTATTAGACCAACATAAACAGTTCAGATTTTTCTAGTCAGCAGGAAAGCAATGCTTAGGAGTCTAATGGAAACATTTGATCTTGTCTTATTAATTTATTCTTTCAGCCAGTATTACCTAAGTACTACATGGCACAAGCTGAGCATTTGAAAGAGAAAAGGCAGCCCCTGCTATCAGGCAGCACAGAGGAGAAGATCGACCAATAAACCCAGGCTGACCTATTTATAGATTTGTCTATTGGGATACTTCATATAAATGGAATTACATAATACCTGGTCTTCTGGGACTAGAATCTTTCACTTTGTGTGGAGTTTTTCAGGGTTCATCCATGTTATAGCTTCAATTGGTACATCATTCTGAGATCAGGAGGTAGAGAAAAGGCCAGGCAGTCAGAGAATTGGGCACCTGGAGGGGCCTTCCATGATCAGCAGAAAAAAAAAACCCCAAACTGTTGCTAAGGAGTTTGTGAATATCTTACCTAAAAAAGGCATGCATGCTATGGAGCCCACAGCCTCTCCAGAAAAGGGAATAACCTGTGATCAACATCTTGATTGGACATGGGACCACATGGATATCTTGTGGACACTGGGTGTCTTACCCAGAATTAGGTTACAGCATGACTTCCTCTTATTATAACAAATGAGTATAAAATGTTATCCCTAACAGACATTTATAAACTCCTAAACAGGACTGGCCCACTAGCAACCCTCTTGGTACCCCTCCCAAGGGGGTTATTTTGCTTTGCTTCAATAAATTCCTAGACTTTGCTTTCACCTTCTGTTGTCCATGAATCTCATTCTTCAGGTTTCTACCAGATGCCATGCTCCAAGTTACAATTCCTTTTTTTATATCAAAATAATATCCTCTTATATGGAAAAATGCATTTTATTTACCCACATATCAGTCGAAGACCTGGTTGTTTTCATCTTTCCACTGATGAAAAAATGCTTCTATGAACATTTGAATACAAGTACTTGTGTGGACACATTTTAATTTCTTTGAGGTATATAGGGGTGGAATTACTGGGTCACATAGCAAGTCTCTATTTAACCTAGTAAGCAACTGTAAACTATATTCCAAAGTAGATGGAGCACTTCATATTCCCACCAGCAGAGCAATAGGGTAGTGATTTCTCTAATTCCTCTCCAGCATGTTAAGGTCTTTTCTATCACAACCACCCTAGTGGGTACTTAGTGGTATTTCATGTGGTTTTGATTCACATTTCTCTGATCACTAATGACATCAAGCAACTATCTTTTAATATGCTTACTGGACTTTTGAACATTTTCTTTGGGGAAATGTCTACTCAGATCGTTTGCCTCCTTTTTTTTCTAAACAGGGTTGTCTTAAGTCTTTTAAGAGTTTTTACATACGCCAGATCCAAGTCTCTTATCAAATGTAATTCCCCAATATTTGCTCTCATTCTGCAGTTGTCTTTTTCACTTTCTTAACAATGTCCTTCGAAACCCAAAAAGAGTTTTAATTTTGATAAAGCCCAATTGGCCTATTTTGGTTTTGTTACATGTGTTCTTGGTGTCATACTCACAGCTTTGTCTAATCTAAGGTCATGTGGATTTACTCCTGTATTTTCTTTTAAAAATTTTATAGCTTTTGTTCTTACATCTGGGTCTTAGATCCATTTTTAGCTAATTTTTGTACACTGTGATGAAAGGGTCCAGCTTATACATTGCATGTAGAAATCCAGCTGACGTGGCACTATGTGTTGAAAAGGTTACCTTTTCATCACAGAATTTTCTTGGCACTTTTGTGAAGAATCAGTCATAAATGTGAATGCTTATTTCAACTCTAGTTCATTGATCTCTATGTTCATCCTTATTCAGAGTCTTTATTATTATAGTTTTCTGGTAAATTTTAAAATCAGAAAGTATGACTTTTCCAACTTATTTATTTATTTATTTATTTAGGTGCTGGGGATTGACCCATGGCCTTGTGTGGGAAGGCATGCACTCTACCAACTGAGATATATCCCCAGGCCCCCAACTTTCAACTTTTTAAAGATTATCTTGGCTATTCTCACTCAATGAATTTCCAAATAAATCTTAGGATCAGCCTTTTGATTTCTGCCAAAATGCCAACTGAGATTTTGATAGGGATTTTAGTAAGTCAATATTTTGGAGAGTGTTTCCATTCTAACAATCTTATGCCATCCAGTCCATGAACGCAGGACTTTGTAAATGTGTCTCAACAATGTTTAATAGTGTCCAAAGAAAAAATTTTGTACTTTTTTTTTGAGGGGAGATATTAGGGATTGAACTCAAGGGCTCTCAAGCACTGAGCCACATCTCCAGCCCTATTTTGTATGTTATTTAGAGACAGGGTCTCACTGAGTTGCTTAGTGCCTCACCTTTGCTGGGGCTGGCTTTGAACTTGTGATCCTATTGTCTCAGCCTCTCTAGCTGCTGGGATTATAGGCATTCACCACCATACCCGGCTGTACTTCTTTTGTTTAATTTGATCCTTCTTTTGTTTAATTTGATCCTTAATACTTTATTTGTTTTAATATTATAGCAAATAAAGTAGTTTTCTTAACTTCAGTTTTAGATTAATTTTAAATAATATTTTTGCAATCATATGTTTACCAATTAATTCTTAGATGAGGCTTAAAAATCTACTCTCCTTAGGGTAGAAGATGGGAACCTGGGAGACAGAGGAAGGAAGGGAAAGGGGAAAGACTTGGTGAATGAAATTGACCAAATTATGTTGTATGCATGTATGAATATCTAACAACAAACCCCACTAATATGTATCATTGTAATGAAGCAATATTTTTTTTTTTAAATTCCTCTTCTCTTTTTTTATTACTTATCACACAGGACTGATGTTTTTAGAAGAGAACTATATTAAGTAACAGAACATGAGGGCTGAGACCTCAGAGTTCACTTTTCCCAACCATCCCAAATATGCAAATGAAGGCGGAAAGGCAGGACAGGTATCAGCACATGTTCTGAGTCTGTCTCCAGCCCTGTGCTGCTTTCAATGACCCACAGAGAAAAGCAGGATGTACCCCCTTCCTGTGAGATGGCTCCAGTAGTTGTAAATTATCACATATGTGGATAATGAAGCCATTGTACTTATTTTAAATACTTACCTTATTTCTAACAGCCTTAAGTTAGAAATCCCTACCTAGGAAG